TCTCATCCCGCGCGTGCTCGATCACATGTACTTCCTCATGGACCAGAGCGAGAAAGCGGTACGCGTCCCTTCTCGATGTGATGCTCAACGCCTTTTGACTTGGTTGCAAGAGCTGACGCCATCTTGCTTGTTTGCACCCAATAGAGCCTGGGCTCAGTGCGCTTTGAGTGTCGCTGCTCGTTCCTCGAGATCTACAAGGAGAAGATCATGGACTTGCTCAATCCCACAATGCTCGACCTCAGCATCCGCGAGGACATCAAGCGCGGCATCTACGTCGAGAACCTTACCGAACAGCCTGTCTCCTCCACCGCAGAGGCGCTTGAGGTGTTGCGGGTTGGCGCCGCCAATCGCCACGTAGCTGCAACGGGCTGCAACGAGTTTTCCAGCCGCTCGCACAGCGTCTTCACCATCACCATCAAGTCCAAGGCACGTCAAGCACTCGTCTGCCCACTGATGAGTGGAACCAGTTTCTTACAACGTTCTACTACGCGCAGGAGGAGAAGAACGGTGTCGTGCAGACCAGATACTCGCGGCTGAACCTGATCGATCTGGCAGGTTCGGAGAGGCAGAAGCTCTCGCAGACAAAGGGCGAACAGCTCAAGGTTCGCACCCCCTCCGTACCGCTGCCAATCATCTTGATCTGCGCTCACTCTTGCTCTTTGTTTGCGTTGGCGCGACATACAGGAAGCGGGACACATCAATAAATCGCTTGCCCTCCTGGGCAATGTCATCCGAGCCCTTGTCGAGATTGCAGGCGGCAAGCATCGACACGTGCCCTACCGGGACAGCAAGCTCACCTTCCTGCTCAAGGTAAAGGCGTCTCTCCGCTCGTCTCTCCTTCAACCGCTTCTAGGCAAACTCTCTGCAGGCACTCATATTCTGTTCTCTTTTGATAAATAGGATTCGCTGGGCGGTAACTCCAAGACCACAATCATTGCCACCATCAGCCCCCTGGACACGGCCTTCGCGGAGACCCTGTCTACCCTCAAGGTAGACCCCTGGCCTTCGCACTCTTTTCTCCTTTGGTTCGGGTGGGACTCACTCCTTGTTCCCCGCACCCAGTTCGCGCAAAGGGCCAAGCTGATCCAGAACAAGGCGGTCGTCAACCAAGATCTCGATGGGGTGCGGTTAACCAGCATTTATCATCTCGTGCCCGTCTCACCGCTATGGCACACGAACTCAACCCTTTAAACCATCTTTCAGGGGTCCAACTACGCGCAGTACGCCCAGCTGCAGAGGGAGCTGAAGCGAGTGCGAGAGCAGCTGGCAATGGAGAAAGCCCGCAATCAGTTCGCCGACGCATCAATGGCCGTCGTGCCACAAAACGGCGCGCTGCGGACGAGGAGGAACGACATCACTGCGCAGCCGCTGGCCACCAACCAAGCACAAAACGAGCACGTGCGCCGTCTCGAAGCCCTTCTGAACCAGCTCAAGAGCTACGAGACGATCGAGGACGAGCGTCGACGACTCAGAGAGGGTAACGCGCACCTGAAGGAGCAGTGCGCTTCCAAGGACAAGTTCGTCCAGAGCGCGCGGGCGCTCATCAAGTTGCGCGACGCCACCATCGAGTCGCTGCAGAAGAAGACGCCCCGTACCGGTACGTCCCCACATCATGGTCTACCTACTCTTCAACGTCTGCTTACGCCTCTTTATATCTATTCAGGACGTTCGGAGAACGAAGCGCTTAGGCAGGAGATCCAACAGCTCAAGGCGATGGTGGAAAATCATCCCGAGCTGCTCAAGCACGCCCGCGAGAGTCACAACAGGAAGACGAAGCTGCAGGAGTACAAGCGGCTGTTCGGCGACAACATGAAGGTCTACTGGGCGGAGATCGGCAAGGCGCAGTACCTGGCCAAGGAGCTCTCCACCTACCTCGAACGGGTCAAGAGCGGCAGCAAGGGCGGCCAGGCAACTTACGAGGCGCTCCTCGCCTCCCCCGTGGCTTCGACTACCGACAAGAAGCGGGTCGGCTGGGCCGACACGACGGCCACGACCACCGAGGCGCAGCCCATGAACTGGAGCCTGATCTCCAAGCGACAGAAGACTGTGGAGAGCGATGCGGCGCAGCCGAGCGAGGAGGCCGCTCCTGTCGCCGTGGCCCGCAAGGCCAGGGACGCGCGGAAGAGCATCGCGTGGTTCAACCACGAGTACGAGGAAGAGCACTCGTGGGACCTCGAAACCAGCACCACCACGCTCGACGGGGGCAACCACCACAAGGCCGACGAAGAGGCGGCGGAGGGCACCACCACCGGGCTCACCAAGGAGCAGGCGGCGGCTCTGGAGAAGGCGCTGCACGGCCTGGAGGACAAGCTGCGCGAGGAGCAGATCATGAGGAATCAGATCGAGCTGCTGCTCGAGGAGGAGAAGGCCCGGTCGTCGCTCGAGCTCACCAAGTGGCAGAGCGAGTTTGCCCTCGCGCAGCAGCAGATCGACGCCCTCGTCCACGAGAAGAACTCGCTCAGCTCCGATCTCACCGTCAAGAACGAGCGGCTGCGCTCCCTCAACCAAAACTTCCTCATGACCAAGGGCTCGACGGCCGCCTCGTCGTCGTCGTCGGGCTCCATGGGCAGCAGCAAGTCCCGGAGCAGCGACAGCAGCGACGAAGAGGAGTTTGGCGATTGGAGCGATGTTCGCAAGGGCTTTGACAACGACGACGACGGTTACGAGCCCGTGAGCCTGCGGAGACTCACCATGGGCGTCGGACTGCTTCGGCGAGCCAACGCCGCCGCTCAGGGTACGTAATTCTCTTCTCTTCAGCACCCAGCAGTCAATGAGTGTTGTGACTAACGAGCACTTTGTTTGATTGTTGTGTCACACAGACAAGCAGCAGATGAAGCTTGCCAAGAAGCAGAAGAAGCGCATGGGCAGCTTTGGCGGCGACGGTGGCGATCTGCTCGACGCAGATGAGGACGACAACAACGTCGCCGCCAAGGCGGCCAAGAAGAGCCGGAAGCAGAACATCAACGAGGTCCGGATGCTCGACCTGGAGAGGCGCCTGGCCGAGAAGGAGAACGAGATCGAGCGCCTGCAGGACAAGTTCAACAACATGAAGGAGGAGTACGAGGTGCTCATCGAGGAGAAGCGATTTAGAGAGGAGGAGGTCTCCTCCGCCACCGCCGCCACCACCACGGCGACGGCCGAGGGCGCCACCACACCGCAGCAGCAGCTCCACGCTGCGCAATTCGTGCACGAGGTCGAGGAGATGGAGCGGAGGATGAAGGAGCGCAACCTCGAGTACGAACGCGAGGTCATGCGGCTCAGAGAGGACATCGACGACCGCCAGCGCGAGTGGGAAGCCGAGAGGCAGGAGCGCGACGAGCGCGAGCGCCGGCTTGTCGCCTCGCTCGATGCCGCCGAAGGCGAACGCGCGCTGCGCGAGACCGAGCTCGAGGGCCTGCACCGGGAGATCGACGAGGTGCGCGAGGAGATGCGGCGGGAGATCTCGGGCTATGTGAGCAAGATGGGCGAGATGGGGCGCCTCTTTGGCGAGAAGCGGAGGGAGCTCGAGGAGGAGCACCTTGACCAGCTCCAGCGAGCCCTGGGCGAGCGCGACGAGGCCAGGGCGCAGGCGGCCCAGCAGGCGGAGGCCGGCGAGCGCGTGGTGGCCGCCCGGGACGAGGAGATCGAGCATCTGACGCGAGAGCTCGAGGCCGCCGAGGCCAAGTCGCAGGAGGTGAGCCGACGCCTGGCCCAGCTGGCCGACGAGCAGGCCGCCGACTACGAGCGACGGATCGATTCGCTGAACAGGGAGGTCGAGGCCATGCAGCGGCTGAGCGACGGCGAGCTCGCCAAGCTGCAGCTCGAGCTCGACCGGCGGGCGCTCGAATTCGAGACAGAGAAGGAGCTCACGGCGCAGGAGAAGCGGATGATGCACGACTTTGCCGTGATGAAGGAGGAAATCGAGAAGTCCATCAACGAACGAATCGACTACATCAAGCAGATCGAAACGTACGTGCCCAACTCAATCCCAATCTCTCTCCACCACACATGATCTCACCGACCTTTCCTCTTCTTCGTTCTTCTTCTTCTTTCACTATAGTCGCCGGCAGGCGGAAAGGCAGGCGCAGGACGAGATCGCGCGCCTCAATGACACGATCACGCGCATGCAGAAGGACTTCAAGTCTCTCATGCAGGAGAAGCACCAGGTAACGGAAGCGAGGCTCTCAACATCATATAATGAGTCAAAAGAGTCGGGGTGAAGGTGAGTGGTGCTGACGGCCTCTTCTCTTCTCTTCTCTTCATTTTTCTTCTTTCGACCAGCTGGAGGCTCGCGTCGAAGAGCTGGTGCTCATCAATGGCAAGCTCACCGGGCACCAGAACCTCAACCAAAAGATCCAGCACCACGTGAAGGTGAAGCAGGAGAACAACTCGCTTAAGATCGTACGCCTCGCCTTTGCGTCATCATCATCATCATCATCATCATCATGTGTCAGCTTTAATGGTTCTCACTAACCTCTTCTCGTTCGCAACAACAGCAACTCCAAAAGCTGAAGAAGGAGCTAGACCGCACCAAGAGCGAGCTTGCCAAGTTCAGGCCGGAGGGGTCCGTTGACCTGGCCGCAGACGAGGACGAGGAGGAGAAGCTCAAGAAGCAGCTCGCCCAGCAGGAGGAGGTCATCGGCGCCCTCGACGCGCAGCTCAAGGCCCTGCGCGGCCAGCTGAGCTCCCTCTACAACGCACACATCGGCTCCACCACCGCGACCTTGACGGGCGGCGACGCTGTCTCGTCAGACGAGACGACGGAGGCCGAGGACGCGTCGTTCTCGTTCGAGGTCGTGCTCGATCAGCTGGGCCTGAAGCTCAAGGGCATGTCGCAGGAGATCAGCGATCTCCACTTCAAGAAGCTGCTGCTCGAGCGCGAGAACGCCCTCTACGCCAAGAAGAGCCAGCACGGCCTCGGCTTCTCTTCTTCTTCGGCCACGACCGCCGCTTCTACCGCCGAGCCCGTTGTTCCTTCGTCTGCGCCGACGTCATCTTCATCTTCTTCTTACATCCCCGCATCCTCTTCTTCCTCTACTTCGACGTCGTCACACGCCTTGGCGGACGTCACCAATTTTGAGTTCAACGCTTCGCCCGCGTCGTCGTCGCCCACGATCGCCTTTAAGGAGGCCGCCACCACCAAGGCCGCGACCAAGCCAGCCACCACCGCCGCGACGGCAACTGTACATAACGCCGACAAGGAGAACGCCGTGGCTGTCGCCACCACCAAGGAGAAGCCGAGCCGAAGCGGCAGCCGACGAGAGCCGCGAGGAGAGGCCAAGGAGCGCGGCGCGACAGCGACGGACAGCAGCAGCAGCAAGCGGAGGCCCAGGGAGGAGCGCGAGGCCGCAGCGTCGGGGAGCAGCGGCTCAGGGACGGGAGGCGGCAAGGAGCGGCGCGTGCGAATGGCCGTTCTGCAGCGCACCCTCTCCTCCGCCTCCAACCGGCCATAGAGAAGAAGAAGAAGAACGTCGTGCGCGACATCAACAAGTACTTGCTCACACAACCACGTTTCGAAACAAATACAACCTCTGTACACTTGATCCCCGTGACGGCAAAACGAAAACGCCCAACCCGGTATCGCCGAAAAGAACACCACAAAAAACTGGCTTGGCGGCGTTTGTGTCTCTTTACCACCACCAGATCTGAAGATGAGCGACCCCACCAAGTTTGCAGAGCCTGTGACGTCCTTCGACGTGCACATCTACTTCTTCCAGGGCAGTGAGCGGAGCGTGCAGTCGGCCGCTCGACTGCGCGAGGAGATCCTCCAGACCTTTCCTGACTTCGAGGTCTACAAACTGCACACCACCCCCATAGGTATGCAATCATCCTCGCCGACAAATCAGTATTGATCTGATGATTTTCGTGCAAACGATAATGCGAGTGCAGGTCCGCACCCAACGGGCATGTTTGAGGTGGACCTGCGCACGCCCCAGCAGTTCGCGCAGTTGGTGCCGTGGCTCGTGACGCGACGCGGCGAGCACAGCGTGCTCATCCACCCGCACACGGGCGATGGGCTGCGCGACCACACCGTCAACGCCATCTGGCTCGGCGACAAGGTGCCCCTCATCCTCGACGTCCTCCGACCACGAACCCAGCAGTGAGCACACAAAGAGAGAGAGAGAGAACAACATGTCAAGCAGAAGACAAGCAAACGTGTAGAGGTTTCGATATTTTGCTACAAACAAAACAGCATTTCTTGTTGGCCTTCTACGTCGTCTTCTGTGCGTTTGCGTGGAGGGTGCGGTAGCACTCGAGCGAGGAGCACAGGGGCCGGTGGTCCCTGCTGAGGTAGGCCCTCGCGCCGTGGCACACCACGCACTCGCTTCCAGGCCTGCAGTGGGGCCACACAGGTCAACACCAGGCGGTAGGAATGTCATGATGATAATGATAATGACGATGATGACGACGACGATGATAATGAAGAGGCAGCAGGGCACGTACACTGTACGACTGGAGGTGGGAAGGGCGAGGGTGAGATCGACGGCTGGTTCGTCGGGGAACGAACACGAGGCCTCTGCCGCCTTGGACACGTAGCGGATGCTCGGTACGCCCAGCGTCCGCTCCGGCTGTGGTGTGGCATCCGTGGCTGGTGAGTCGAGTCGTGTGCGGTGGTTGTGCGTGTGGCGTGTGGCGTGTGGCGTGTGGCGTGTGGCGTGTGGCGTGTGGCGTGTGGCGTGTGGCGTGTGGCGTGTGGCGTGTGGCGTGTGGCGTGTGGCGTGTGGCGTGTGGCGTGTGGCGTGTGGCGTGTGGCGTGTGGCGTGTGGCGTGTGCGTTCGTACCTTCGTGCCCTGCTCGTCCTTCTTTTGCGTGGTTCGAGAGAGTAGCTTCCGCACCGTCAGTTCCTGTGTGCCCAAACACGACACGACACGACACGACACGACAAGCCTGTGTGAGCACAACAATCCTTCCCGGCTCCTCACAGCATGGCCGCCGCCAAACGAAGGAGGCCGTGTAGTGCAAACCTTCTCCTCCTCGGCCTGTCGTTGCTGTTGCCGCTTGCGTCGGAGGGCACTCTCGGCCTTCTTCTGCTGCTCTTCCTCCGTCACCGCCTTCTTCGCCTTGCTCCCTGTCGTCGTGTGCGGCGGTGTGGTGCGTGTGCGGTGTGTGTGTGCGTGCGTGCGTGCGGTGTGGTGTGTGTGTCGTGTGTGTGTGTGTGGTTGGTCGTGAGGGACTTTGCAGTGTGGGAAAAGCGGGGCGTAGTGGTACCCATGGGCAGGGAGAGGAGGAGCTGCTCGTCGGGTTCGCCGCGGTCGCGCCGGTCGATAATGGCCCTCTGTCGGCTCGTGAGGCGCTGCTGGGGCAGCGCCTGGAACACCCCAAACTCGCCCTCCTCGTCCTCCTCTTCATCCACCACCAACGAATCCGCCTCGTCTTCCTCCTCCTCCTCCTCCCCATTGCTCTCGTCTTCTTGTTCGTCGTCGACGTCGACGTCGACATCATCAGAACTCTCCTCCTTCTCCACGTCCGACTTGGCTTCGTCGCCGCTGTTCTGCTGCTGCAGCGGTTGGTCATCGTCGTCGTTGTCGTTGTTGTTGTCGCCCACGATGTCGATCTCCTCTTCGGCCTTGCGCTTGGTGCCCCGGTTTTGCGCTCCCCCGCTGCTGCTTGCCGCGGCGGCAGGCGGCTTCCGTCGGTTGCTCTGGCGCGGCGGCGGCGAGGGCATCTCCTCCGCCTGGTGCAGCTCGATCAGGCTAGTGCGTGCGTGCGTGTGATCGTGTGTGTGTCTTGTGTCGTGTGCATGTGTGTCGTGCGGGTGCGACGTACCGCTTCCTTGCGTCGGCGCTTGCGCGGGTTAGGGTCCTCCTCTACCTCCGCAGCTTTTTCGACGGGCCGCTTGCGTCCGCCCTTCGCAGGCGAGGCCTCGTCTGGCTTGCTGTTGCGAGTGCTGCTCCTCGTCTAACGGTGAGCACAGGAGAGATCAACACGAAGCAGCAGCAGAAGAAGATGTCACAATCGATGTAGCATCGATGTGGCCACAACAACATGGAAGGCCTGGTCCGTACTCGTGTGGCGGCAGCTTCTTCAGCTGCTTCGATGCGTGCCAGAGTGCTGCGCTTGGCTCGGGAGCCGCGGCGTGGGGCCGGCTTCTCCTCTTCTTCTTGAGCATCCTCCAAACCGCTGGTGCCATCTTCTTCGTCTTTTGCATGCAGATCTACATAAAATTCGTCCTCCTCTTCCTTCTTTGATGCTTTGTTGCCCTTCTTCGACCCGCTTCCTTTCTTTTTACTGTTCTTGCTGGGCGTGCTGCCCTTCTTCTTTGATGAATTACTCGATTTCACTTTCTTACTATTCGTTTCAGCCAGACTGCTTGACGGCGTCTCTTCCTGCTGTGCTGCCTTAGAGCTGCGCGTTGATCGCCTTCTCTCCGCCATGCTCATTGCCTCAATGAATGCAAGTCGCTTGTTGGCGTAATCATAGAAAAAGAAAGAAAAAAACACAGGAAAAGAAGCTCTACGCACTAAGCATCAAGCTGAAGATGCGTGTGTCGTCATCTAGAGCGGCCGCTGCACGACGGTGGAGCCCAGCAGGCCGGCCTCTTGGAGAGTCTGCGACTCGTTGGCCAGGACGCGGACGGGCAGGGTGGTCTGCAGCTGGTAGGCCACCCTCTTGGGCAGGGCCGCGTCGACGAAGCCACGCAGGTCGCCCACCGTGTGCGTGTGGTTGAACTTGGCCACCAGGCGCGTGCCGTCGTGCAGTCGGATCTGCACGCTCGTCGTCGGCTGCGTATCGTCCACCACCAGCGGCCTTCGCGGCGCGCTGCTTGCCGTGGTTGCCGCCGGCGCCGGCGCAGAACTGGGCCTGTGCACACACAGCGTTGGTCGCAATCAGTCTCGCGCGACACGGCACCCGCACTACCGCACAACACACACACACACACACCGCACGACACGACACACGCGGGGTAGATCACGACATATCACGTTATGCTGTGTCGGGAGGGAACACAAGCGTACCCGCCAAGGCGCTGGCCGGCGCCAGCGAAAGGAGTGATGACCTTGGGCGGCGGGACGTAGTCTTCACTCTTCTTATCCATCAGATTGACCGACAGCGGGCGGCCTCGCGCCTCCCTCTCCAGCTCGGCGGGCGCGATACTGTGGTGCGCGCCAGGGCACAGGCTCTCGTCAGGTTCCATTCATCAACAGCACCACCAGGCGAGTGTTCTAAAGTTACCCCTTGTTGATGTCGTTCAGGAACTCGGCGTTGGCGGGGTCGGTGTAGCTACGGAGGGGTCCACCGTCGACGGTGAAGCCTTGTCGGTAGAAGACGAGAGAGCGCGTGACCGGTCCCTTCTCCTCCCGCTCTGCCGCGGCGCGGTCCTCCCTGGGCACGATCTTCTCGCTCGGCTTCGTCTCGTCGCCCAGCCGGTAGCCTGCACCCATCACCACCACCTCGTTCAACAAGACGAACAGTTGCCACGCTACACACTCGAGGTTGGCACCCGTACCAGAGCCGACAAAGACGGGCCTGGATGGCGCAGCAGCGGGCTGCTCGGGAGGGGCCTCCGCTCCTCCGTGCCTGTAGGAGCAAGAGGAGATGTAAGCACTTACATCTACATCATTACATATATGGCCTACATAGGTCTCTACACGAGGTGCTGTTGTTCAGTTGAGACGCTGTGTGGCGCTACGTACTTGCGCGCGTTCTCCATGAGCTCGGAGACGATGTCGTGGCTGGAGCCCGAGGGCGGGGCCTTGGGGTCGCGCACCACCATGCCGCTGGCCTTGCCGCCCGTGTAGAAGTCCTGGCCCTCCTCCTCGGCGTCGTCTCCGCCCAGGTCGGAGAAGCCGCGAATCCCGCCCCTTGCGTAGACGCCCAAACGAGTCAGTGCACTGGTGTTGCTACGCGCTACTCGATGCACGAAGAAGATGAAGATGAAGATGAAGATGAAGATGAAGATGGGAGGGAAGTAGTACCGCTGAGGTTGGGACCTGGCAGGCCTGGGAGCGGCCGACGTGGCGGGAGGCGCATGGCCGCCAGCTACAGCTTGACCGCTGCCGCCAGCAGGAGCGACCGTGGGCTGCCCTCCACTTTCGAAGAACATCTCTGTGGCCGCCTGTGGGATGGACTACATGAGGAACGAAGTGCGTACAGATTGATGCAACTGCACGCAGCAGGGCAAAGAAGGGCGTACGCTTATGTCCCAGCCACTCGATTCGAGGTAGAATTTGCTGGTATCGGCATCAGCCCCCGTAACGTTTTGAAACTCCTTGATCACCTCTGCAGTGGACGTCATGCTTTCTTCTCTCTGTCACGCTCCAATCTGATGGTGTAATCTGTGCGGTTGAGATTTTCGTGAATTCGAAGTGCCACTTTCTTCTGTGCTGGCGAAAAAAACATTTTCATTTTCATTTCTTGCGAGCAACTGGTCGCTGTGATTTGGCCACTTGGCGCGAACCAGCGAGCTCGGGAAGGTGACGAAGTGTGGATCTCGTCACTATTAACTGGGCAATATCGCCTTGTTCCGCCCAATCAGCCCATCTGGCAAGACTCCTTTTCTCCGCGATGGGTTTCCGCCCAATCGGACCACTGCCTAACCAACAATAAATGCTAAACCTCCAACACGTCGGTGAAGACCCATTGCACCACAACCCACCAGCAAGAGCTTCAGCCCGGTGGCCGCTCCTGCAGCATGACCCGACCGATCCCCCTCGCGCTGCTCCTCGTTGTTGTCGTCGTGTTGTCGGCTTTGGTCGTTGTGGGCCCTCTCAGCGCCGAGGCGCTCGTGCAGCAGGCGCAGTCGGCCGAGGTCTTCGCCGACAGCGTCTGCGTCAACACGCACTTCGGCTACGCCGGTACGGCCTGGGTCACCAACGGCACGCTTCTCATCGAGCTCATCGCCGAGGCCGGCATCCGCAACATCCGCGAAAGCTTCGATGAAGTGGGCCTCGCTCTGGCGGCCAAGGGCATCAAGATGAACTACGGCATCGCCGAGCTGGACTGGAACACCGACAGCAACATCGACACCACGCGCCAGATCGTGGCCGGGATCAAGGAGGCCATCAACAATGGGTTCCTCATCGACGCCATCCTGGGCGTCAACGAACCCGACATCATGTGGTCTCCAAAGAACATTGTACGTTGCATCTATTCGTTTCGTGAAGCTATGGTGGGATGAGACTGACCATGAGACCAGACATACAATGGGCAAGGGTTCCCGCAGGGACCGATGGACTACATGCGCGACCTCCACACTCTCGTCCGTGCCGACCCGTTCTTCGACGATCGGTGGATCGTCGGAGCGCCGGTGTCGGTGTTCGACGTGCTGCCGGCCAACTGCTGCAGCCAGTGGGTCGACTTTGGCGACATGCACCCGTACCCCTTCGACGGCAACTACCTGGCCGAGACGTGGGAGACCTATGACACCATCTACCGCTATTTCTACTTCTCCAACCAGGTGCTTGCTCATCCCCCCCCCTCTCGCTATACTGGTTCTACACATTCATCATCATCACCATCACTAACAACCAGTCTCTCATGCACGAATGCAGCCGTCGGTGAACCTGGACCAGTACCCGCAGCAGTGGACCAGGTGCAAGGCGTTCTACCCCGACCGGCCCTTCTTCGTCACCGAGACGGGCTACACCACCAAGTCCGTCGACGGCACGTCGATCCGCGCGCACGGCCTCTACGTCAACCGCATCTTCACCGAGTACTTCCGCCTGGGCATCCGCCGCACATGCATCTACTCGCTCCTCAACGACCACGACGACCCGGCCGACCACGAGTCCAACTTCGGCCTCCTCTTCGCCGACTACTCGCCCAAGCCCGGCTTCACCGCCCTCAAGAACCTCATGGCCCTCGTGCGCAGCGACTGGGCGCCCTCCGCCACCCAGCTGAGGCCGCCCACTTACGCGCTGGCCACGCTCGACTTTGGCCTCAACGTGAGCGCCGTGGGCGACTACGATCGCACCGACTACGTGCACCACCTGCTCCTGCAGAAGCCCGACGGGTTGTTGCTGCTGCTGCTGTGGCACGAGATCTCGGCCGAGGATGTGAGCGATCGGCGACAGGTCTTCCCGCCGCTCATGCCCACCGTGCTCACGCTGCCGACGGGTTACGAGGTGCGCGTGTTTGCGCCCAACGACGGACCGGGCCCGAGTGGGAACTACACGGTCGATGGGCGGTCGAGCTTCACCGCGGGCGAGACGCGCATCGAGCTGCTCGTGCCGGACCACGTCATCGTGCTCCAGCTCAAGAAGGAGGCCGCCACGAGCTTGTCGGCCAGCGCGAAAGCCTCGTCGTGGGCCACCTTCATGTTTTGATAGTGGTACACAATTTCATTGTATTTTGTAAGCTTTAGTTTTGTGCGTGGTTGTGCCCAAAACCAAAAAAGTGACCTCTCACCAAATGGCCTTCCTCTCGCGGGTCTTGATCACGAAGATCTCTCGGCGCGCGGTGTTGTGGAGGGTGGTGAAGCACCCGTACGAGTACCACGCGAACGACGCGTTGAAGAAGCCCGGCGCCCACCCTCGCCTCTTATCCTGCAGCAGCCCACCATCCCCACTCACATCAGGGACGAAAGAAGAACGAAGAAGAACGAAGATGAACGAAGAGGCAGCGTACGCTGTCGAACTGATAACCGATTCCGAGGTCGTCAGGTCGACCAAACGTTTCGGCGTGCTCGTCAACGAAGCTGTAGATGGGACGTTCGCCAGGCGCGAAGGTGGTAGCGGGGGGCGGAATCCGGAGGCGCACGAACGGCTTGAAATCGGACTCTTCGCCCACGTCCGGTGAGAGGTAAATCTCGTCCTTCTTCTCGTCCCCTACGCTTGGGAGGCCCAGCTGCTCCAGCAACTCACTCCGCTTCCTGCCACCGCCACCGCCACCAACAACCCACATCAACGATCAATCCGATCAATCCGATCAACCGCACATCTCACGACACGACACGACACGACATGACACGACATGACACGACCAACGACACGACACGACACGACACGACCAACGACACGACAATACTTACTTGTTAGAAACGGCGTAGCAGAAGCGGGCGAGGGTGATGGTCGCGTGCTTGGTTGTGGTCCCGATTCTCACCCGGTCGGTCAGCCGGGGCACGTGTCCATTCCTGCAATTCCTCTATTAATCAGAGAATCAAGTGAAACGAGGAGGCGGGGGGGGGGGCGGTGGTTACGTGTGGAGGAAGGCCAAGTGGAGGGCCATGCGGTGGTGGCGCAAACCCACCTCGGATTGGTGGTGCAGGTGGGGCAGAGCCACGACGCTGAACTGGGCGTCCGTGATCTCGAACTCGCCGTCCTCGTCCTCGTCCGCGGCCGGGTCCCCCTCCCACACCGACTCCCAGTCGGTGAGCGTGCTTGGGAATCGGGCGTCCTGGTCGCGCGGCATTCTCAGCATTCCACGACTCACCTCCGCGTAGCGGCCGAACCACGCCTTCCCCTCCTCCTTGCCTGCCACGTCATCATGGCCGGGTCCGGTTAGTAAATAATTCTCAAATAGCAGAAATGTTAATAAAATGAAGAAAAACAAACATTTAACACTTGACAAACAATAATAATACCGTTGAGGAAGGGCGGGCCGTAGAGGCTGAGGAAGCGCGGCTTCCACAGGCAGTCGGCGGAGGCGAGGTCGCCCCAGCGGCGGCTCACGGCGCGCTGGCGCACGAGGTCCTCCGTGTCGAGGAAGCTGAGCACACATAGGCCCGTGTCCGGGTCCAGGCTCTCCAGCAGCCCCCAGCCCCGGCCATGGCACCACGCGGGTCGCCAGAGCTTCTTCTTCATCCGTTCTTGTTCCTCTCCTGGCGCGCTTGCCTGTGGTGGTGCAGCTGCTTTCTTGTGCTCCGTCCCCGAGCTTAGCGTCCTCTTCCTCCACTGGCCTTTCCTTTCGCTTTTGCGCAGCCGTTGCCTCCGTGGGAGGCCTCTCCATCTTGTCTTTTGTCACAAGATGTATTTTACCTCCGAAGCTATCAACATTTCTTCGAAGAAATGGAAGGAAGTGAAAAAAAGACCCAACATAAAGAAAGAACCGATGCACTGCCGCAAGCGGCTCCGCTCCGACCCTGCCTACGCTCGCGTGGGGCCAGACACCACGCACTCTGTTCAGCTGACCACTCTCCCCGACCTGGTCCTCCACCACATCATTTCGTACCACCGCCCCCCCCTCCGTTGGGCCATTTTATTGATTATTTATTATTTATTTTCATCTTTTTTGCAGTGGACTCGAGTGGAAGGACGCCGTTGCTCTGCGGCAGGTCGATCGCGCCTGCCAGCTGCTCGTCCTGCGTGACCACCGGCCGCTCCGATTCGTTCTGGTTGTGCTCCTTCCGCGCGTGCTCGATGCCCTGCCCCAGGATCGTGTCACCTCGCCCTTCCATGGTGCGGTTTTAAATTATGTCAACTTTTACTGGGCGGTGATTGGTGTGTTTGACTATGTGAGACTCACTCGTGATTGGTTGCATGACAGCGGTGTATTGGGATTGGTTCAAGGCGGCGCAAACGCGCGACTTTGCCACGCGAGCACCACTTGTTGACGACCACGACGAGTGCGACGACGACGAAGAAGAAGAGGACGATTTTGAGCCGCTCGAAACCGACGAGCTCGAGCTGCTGCAACGGGACGCATTGCAGATCGCTCCTCCTTCCGTCGCTGACGGCGGTGATGACGCTGCGATGGACCTTGAGCCCATCACCGAAGGAGATGACAACGACGACGATGAAGGAGAGGACACTGATGATGATGGTGACGATGATGACGAGGATGTTGGTGAAGGTGCCAATGACAAGGTGAAGCTGGAGCTGGAGCACCTGCAGGCGTGGAGGCTGCAGATCGAGGCGCGCCTGCACCAGCTCTCCATCGAGGAGCCCAACTACTGGCGCAGCGACGCAAGGAGCCACCAGATCCACAACAGCTACGCCGCCGGCCCCTGCCGGGCGGGCAATGAAGGCCGGGGATGGAGCGAGGAGAAGATGGCCATCATCGTTTCGATCATCAAAAAGGTTTCGTATATCTCTCTAAAATCTGTATATGCACATATTTTATGTATACACGTATATGTTATGTTGGTGGACAGTATGTGAGGGTGAAGGCGCACGTCAGGTTCGAGGGCGAAGAGGCGATCAACGTCGCCTGCATTCTCGAGCTGTGCGCTCCTGGCGGTGGTGGATGGACACTGAGCCTTGTACGTCTTCGCTTCGCCCTGGCCATGGCCCACGCAATGTTCGGATTGTTGTAAGGTGTGAGCGTTGTGCGAGACCAGGCGGAGCGGGGAGGCCACGACAACTTCAGACCCGCCTCCCGACTCAGGATCGATCGCAGAACAGAACGGGGCTGCTACGTGCACCTCTTAAACTGGCACTCCGAGGGTACCCGCGCTCGTGGCGAGCTTGTGATGAGGTGGTGGTGAATGAACTAATCTTTCTTTCTTGCCTTGACAACAGCCTACATTTCTGATAACATTGTCAATACGGAGCTGTTGGTCGAGGTGGCGCGTGCGCTGGGCATCCCTGATTGGTCGCCGGATGAGTACGTGTCCAACATGTTGATTGGCATCTCCGCCCTTGTCATGACGAGCTCCGCCACACTAGACTAAACTAAACTAAACTGCATGGGGGGCAGAATCGTCCGTTTTCTGCTGGACTGCGCACAATGCCGCGCAGCACCTCCTGCCGCGTTTCCCAAGATGACATCGTACGTAGCACCTGATTCTCATTTATTTACATTTGCAGAAACATATACATGAACTTTATATATACTGAGTTTGTGTGTTGCAGGAGTGCAGAGGAGGTAGACGATACGTTCCCCACGCTGGCCAAGGTCTGGGCGAGGCTAGGGGACGAGGACCAGTTCTTTTCTGCTTCGGTCGACCGCTACCCTGTGGCCACGCTTGAGCCACTTCTGCGCGCAGGTAACGCACACGACACACACGCACCACACCCGCATTCATTTCATCAACGTTGCATGGCACACAGTGCAAAGAATGCAGTTTCACCTGCAGAAGCCGTGCGTCGTACGCGTTGGAGCGGAGGTTGACTACGTTGCCTTTGCTGACATCCAACGCATACTGCCCCGCATCACGCTAGGCACCAGTACACACCGTAGCATCAGTTGTGCCATCCTTCATTCATTCATTCTTTGATGATGATCAAACAAGCTAGGAAGCCTCTATTTGTGTGTGTATATATATATATGTTTACATGTTTATATGTACACTCTCACTCTATGTGTGACAGCGACTGCGGCCATGGTGGCCAGCAACGAGTACGAGGGAGAATCGTACGCTTGGGGTAGCGCCCGCCTTCGCACTGGTGAGACACCCTCGGGTACGCGTGCCATCTCGTCGCGTCACGTGGGTGCGGTGTTGCGTGCGTGTGCGTGTGCGCCATTATTAAATCGTGTGTTCACTCTCTCATTAGAGAGCGTGCGCATTGACTGTAAGATGAGCACTATTGTTCGCCAAAACGACCGCACAGAAGTTTTGGTGGAGCTGGCCGCCCGAACCTATTCTCTGGCGGTCGGTGAACGGTACTATCCCTACAGATATCATGTGGCAAATGCAGACAATCACTTACTGATGCTGTCGCACACGCACACGCACCACGCACACGCACACGCACACGCACACGCACACGTACCACACACACACACACACACACACCAACGCAGGTTTGGGCTGTCGTGTGGGCAAGGCAAGACGGTGATGGCCTATTTCACCGGCAGCGAATTCCTACACAGGAGACACCTGCCCGGGGACCTGGACCTCCCCAAGAGCATCGACCCTACGTTCTTCGATGAACTCGCGCGCTCGGTCGGCGCCATGCCCCCGGACGTCCGTGACAGTGAGGCGGCTGATGATAACAACGAAGCAGAAGCTGAAGCTGAAGCCACCAGCCAGAGCCAGCTGACGGCGGAGGCCGAGAGGCGCGTGCGCATGGCCATGGTTCTGGCCGTGTGCGTTCTGGGACCGGCCACGCGCTACGACGGTCTGCACCAGCCCGCCCCGGAAGACTTCTTTGTACGCCGCACGCGCCACCCGAATCCATCACACGCCACACGCCACACGCCACACGCACCGTTCTTTCTTCTCAGCACCGGCTGTGGGGCTGCTGCAGGACGGACACAAGCCGATCGCGTGGTTCCACCACGACCCGGCCGAGGAGGTCTTTGCGTGCTGCCTCCACAACTGGTTGGACGAACAGACCTTCGGCTTCTCTTGAAGTTGTTGTGTGGATGGAAGCAAGCTGTTCGTTCGGTCCACCGTGAGCTTCACAGCAGGGAGCCCATCGAAATAGTTTTATAAAACAGCCACATATTCGCACACTTATTTATGGAGCATAGCCATATATATGTACCTTCTCGCCCGGTCGGATGAGGCCAAACAGCCGCGTGTCGCCGGACACACGGTCCTGTGCAACAACGAACGGATAGATGGAGAGTGAGCTACGCCGCCCACCAAGCGCCGAGGGGACGGGGGACGGGCGTACGAGCATGGCGCGCCGTTGGACGATGTCGTTCATGAGGGCGGCAGGGATCCAACCACGGTTCACCAGCACGATGGTCCTAAATGGGCGGTGACCCGACACACACGACACACACGACACACACGACACTCAGTGCATTGCCCCGAAGCCAAACACGGGGGCGAGGGTGGTGGTGGGTACCCATCGTCGGAGCGGCGGAAGGGGGTGAGCAGGAGGCCGCCGTTTTGGCCGTCGCGCGTGCGGGGCCGCACCACGAACTCGCGCACGGGGTCGAACTTGCCGCTCACCTCCACGTGCCGAAACTCGAAATCCCTCAGGGTCTCATCCCTGGCGAGTTGCGTGTTGCCCGTCGCGTGTCGTGCGTGAGACGCGCGTGTCGCATAGTGTGGTGCGTGTGTGCGTGCGTGCGGCGGTGCGGTGGTTAGGTCGCACGGATCGTGGCGAGTGGCAGATGGCGAGGTACGTGAGGTGGGGCGGCAGGTCGACGGTGGGTTCGAGCAGGCGCTCCTTGCGGTACCGGATCATTTCCTTCTTCTCCTGCCATCGATAGACCTGTGTGCGGTGTGTGCGGTGATGAACGCTCAGAGACATGTTCGTACGAAGCTCCACAGAGAGAGTGAAGACAATCGGTCGACGGACGGAAGCAGCGTGCCTGCCAGGTGCCCAGGCAAACGGTGATGGCGGGAAAGATCCAGAACCACGCGGCCAGGCCGCCCTCCATCACTTGGCCCGCTTCACCGCTGGCGGGTTTCGTGGCCGCGGCCTTGTTGCCGCCGCCGACAAAGTTCTTCAGGTCCTGCTGCCGCGCGGCGATGTCCTCCCTGGACTCTGTTCGACGTGTTTCGTTATTTATTATTTATTATATTTATGGATTGTTTATTTTATTCGACTGTGGTGCTGTGGTACCATTTGCAAAGGAGCGGAGTGGTGCACGGCCAAGGGAACTGCGGGGCGGCATGGCCAGACGAAGGCCCGTAGGGCCACTACGCGCTTTGGGCGGGCACCCTCCCAGGCGGGCCGCAGTAAAGAGGGAGCGGCACTGCTGACTGCTCTGGCGAGCCGGCAGTGAAGTTAATTTGCCCAAGGCAGGTAGCGAAGACTGCCAGCAACGTTGCTGCTGCCTCATCTTCTCTTCTGGTGCTGCTTTTTCTTTTGCTGGCGTTACGCGCCTAATGCTAACTCGCAGCATACCAGGAAAAGAAAAAAGGTCGTGAAGAAAGGAAACCAAAAGGAAAATTCGACAACAATGGACGAGGAGGCGAAAGAGGAGCGCTTCGTGGAGGAGGCACCGCACCACGCGGGCGCAGGTGGGCCAACGAGGCCTCCACGTCAGCTGGTTCTTCGCACTGCACCCGCCTCGCGACGTGCCATCGTGCTGCTGGGGGTGCCGACCTCCACCTCTCCTACTCGCGTGCCCTCGTTTTTTTCCTTCTTCCGCTTCTTTTCTTTTGCTCACCTCGCGTGGGCCGCCAGGGCGAAGCGGCGACGGTGGAGAGGGAGGTCCCCCTCGCGTCCCTGGTGGGCTGGGGCGCCACCAACCTCGGCATCGACCTCAACTTTGGCCGTACGCCCACCCTTGCCTTGAAGCTGATGGCGGTTGTGACGCTGACGGTGGTGGTGGTACCGCGGTCGACTACGAATTGTATGTGTGTGTGTGTGTGTAGCGGGAGTGCCGGGACTGTTCTTTGCGACGCGGCGAGCGTCGGAGGTGAGCGACGTGCTTCTGCGCACCCTCAGCCTCATGCGCGACGAACGCGAGCGAGAGACGGCGAGCGCACCGTCACCAGCGGAAGAAGCAGAGGCAGGGGACGAGGCGCAGGTGACCATCTCCATCGAGCCCGTGCGGCCCGTCCCACCCTACGCGGGCACCAAATACTGAATTAACGCGCAACTCGGTCTCGTGGCGAGGAAATGTGTTGTTTGTTTGCTGCTCGTTGCGTCATCAAGAAGAATGCAGCCACCCGCGTTCGTCATGTCTCTTAGAGGAACTCGATGCCTTCGAACCTGTTGTGATGGCCATCAGATGATGAAGAAGAGGCAAGAAGAATGAATGGGTGAGTGCCAGAGAGAGAATCTGTTTGCAAATTGCAGAGAGGCAAGGCGTACTTGACGTTGCCGACGAGGGTCTCCTCCAGCAATACTCGGCCTTCGAGATCGAACACCATGATGTCTAGCGTGGTGCACCGGCACAAGTTGTGAGCATCAAAGTGGGCAACACCACACACACACACACACACACACACACACACACACACACAGGGAGAGAGAGAAACGTACAGGTGGAGATCTTGTCCTGGTGTTCCTCGGTCTTGAGGGCCACGACCTCGTGTTCGCGGAACGGGACGAACTGGAACGTCGAGAATCCGTGCGTGGGCTCGTTGACCTGTTTGTTTTGAGGGAAGCCACGCCGCGATAGACAACCGAAGACGATGAGCAGAAGAAACAAACGAGCGATGGCGAAGGCACCCCGCAAGGGCAGGGCAACGTACTCCCACGTGCGAGATGCGGATGTCTGCGAACTGCTCGTTCATGGAGATCACCGTGTCAGAGCCGCGCGACTCGTCCAGCGCCTCATCGTACGGATCCTGTTGCGGCATGAAGAAGAAGAAGAAGAAGAAGCAACCACACAAGTTTCAGCGCGTGTGTCGCGTGTGTCGTTTCTGACATGTTCGCCGTGTGAGCGTGCGTGCGTGCGGCGGTTACCGTGGAGACTCGGCGCGGGAGGAAGAACCACCGCCTGAGGGCGGCGTTCCAGCGTATGCCCTCGTGCAGCAGGTAGCCGGGGAACAGCGTGTTCGTCTCTTTCCTGTGTCGGTCGCGGTGGTGGTCAGCTGACCGCCCACGCGTGAAGAGAGGTGTGGGTGGGGCCTTGCAATGAGTTTACCTGAGAGCGGTGTAGTGCTGGCCCCAATCGATACGCTCGATGCGACCCTCGGCGTCAATCTTCGCAATCCACTGCGGGTTGTTGTTCACAAACTCCTGAACGACGAAGAAGAGGGGGGAGGTGAGATGAAAGAATGAAGTGGTCGATCGCAGGAGAGCGAGGGGTACCCCCTTGCCGGTCGTCCACTCCTTACCGGTGGACCCCACGTAGAGGTGCGAGTCCTTGACCGTCGCCCACTCGATTTTCAGGCCCTGTCGTTCCCAATTAATCACAGTACAGTGCAGTGCAGAAAAAGAGTAATCAACATGACGATGACGATGACGATGAAAGAGAAGGAGAGGTATGGCACCTTGTCGATGTGACCGTTGCCATCCATGAGGATGTGCTTGGGGATCACCTTCTCGCCCTCGACAAAGTACACTGGCAGCCCGAAGTCAGTTCACTCATTACACCAACCGCGAGGCGGATGGGAGTGCACTGGTGGTGGGTGGTGGTGGTGGCCTACCGATGCCGGTGCGATCGTCAAAGGTAAGGAGCTGCTCGTTGAAGTAGGCCAGCTCCGACAGCTCCATTCCTCGAGATCCGTCGTTGAACACCGACGTAACATCCATCTGGTGGGTTGGATTGGGTTGGGTTGGGTTGAGTTGCGTTGCGTTGAAACGAACACAGGCGGGTGGGTACGTACCTCGCTATCCCAGGCGATGGTGTACTTCTTGGTCTCGGGGTTGCGCGTGAGCGTGCCGCTCTTCAGCGTGCTGCGCCACTTCTTGTCGTCCTGTTTTGTGTTGTACAATGAATCAGTTTTCGCGCATGAGTGCGGGAGAGGAAGAGGCGGTACAGTCTTGGAGGCCTTGTCCATGTCAGCAACGATGGTGATGGAGTAGTGCGTTGATGACGGCTTGTACTTGTGGTACGCCTGTGGCCATGCCAAAGTGAAGTGGATGGGTGAGAATAATCTTAGGATGATGGCCAGAACTGCAGGAAACGCGCACCTGCTGAAGAGGGTAGCGGAGGTGAGCCTCGAGTGGAGAGTCCTTCAGGCCACGCGAGTGGGGCGAGGCGCCGGTGCCATCGGTCAGGACAGCAGGGTTGAAGTAGAGAAGGGCGCCCACGAAGAGGAACACCACGACGAGGCCCACAACAACCTGTGCGCCAAAGATGAAGAGTCAAGATGGCCCAACAGACAAAAAAGAAGAAAAAAGGGGGTGGGCACCTGCTTGTGCCGAGAGTGGAGCTGAGAGAAAGGACCCATTCTGCTGAAAAAACGCTTGGGAGGAGGCGACTGTGGTTCGTAAGCGTAGCCGTAGTAGCCAGCACCTCTCGATGAGTTGTTGGAAAGCTCAGCAAACATCAATCACGGTTTGGTGATTTATGGTCCACTCGTTCAGATCAACGAGCGATTGTTTCAGCAGATCGAAGCCAGACCTTCTAGGGAGAACAATGCGCCCGCTGCGTCCAATCTGAATCGATGCGCGAACAGAAAATCGTGCTACGTGCCCCGTCAGCAAGGAAGCGCCAAAGTCCGAGCGCATATCTCACATAACTCGAATTTTCCTCGCGGAGTTCGCTGAGTTGAATTTTCCCGAGAGCCTTCGATTTGTGCAAATTCCCCGTGTAACGAGAAAGCGAGACGAGAGGCGCCCAACTTTTCGTCCGCCACCACTCCCGCCTTCAAGACGGCGGGATTGCAAACTCAGTTCGATCGATCTGTCCGCGGCGACCTTCGTCTCATCATCCGTTCCTCATCGCATGCGACAACCCGCGCCGAGCGTTTGAATTTTGATCTTCCGAATTGGATCGATAGCGCAGGCTTGTTCTTCCTTCTTCTCTCCTCCTCGTCTCTCTTGCAACATGGGACCTCCTCCATTGAATGACGCGGCCGATGACTCAAAACATACGAAACATCAATTGTCGTGCCTGATGCGATGGTGGCCTCGATGGACAGCGAGGACGTGGCTTAAAATCATCGTATCTGTCATCGGTGGCGCGGGGCTTTGCGCATTCTTCTACTGGTTCTCGGCCACGGGGCTACCTCGCCGTCTTCCTCGAGTGGTGAGAGAAGATTGGCTACTGGGGCAATGTGCTCTTCGTTGTCGCCTTCACCCTCACCGGT